TCATTTAGTGATGCCTAGTTTTTAGTGTGGCACCTAGACCACTTACAGAGAGGAAGAATGAGTTCGCTTTACAGCCTTCGCTGGGAGCCAGCTGGCTTTTAGCTCAAGCGGTAGAAGCTCGTGCACTAAGCTCCAGAAGTTCCAGGTTCAGTTCCACCTGCTGGAGTTACACAGTGATAGAATAAACCACTTTGAAGAAAAAAAACCGATGTAAACTGCTGACTTTGTGGGGGGGGAGATAAAATATTCATACTTATTACAACTTCCTATTGGAAATTAAAGTGAAGCTTGGTTCTGGGTAACATATTAGACTTTATGATGATTATGAAAAACCAGCTAATCGAGAGGAAGAGGTGAACTGAGGACACTATGAACCAAAGACTGGAGCTAGTGTGCTAAAAAGAGCAGCTTGGATTTTCCAGTTGGGGCTGCAACTTGGGTTTGCAAGCCAACCCAACCCTCTAGTCTTAAGAACCCCTGCTCCAGCCGAAGCTGCAACACCCCACTGCTATTTTAACATGACCATTCAGCCCCACTAACACGAGTCTGTCTGCTCTTGCTTGAAGGATCACTCCTAGCTGGAGTGCAGAATACTCTCAGGAGCCCTGTTTCCATTCGTTCCCCTGCCACAGCCGTGTTCGGTGCTCCTTCCAGTGCAGCTGAGAGCACCCAATACTGCATGGTGCAGTACTAGGACTATAATAGAGTTTAAACAGAAGCTAGATAATTTCATAGAGGTTAGGTCCATAAAAGGCTATTAGCCAGGGGATAGAAATGGTGTCCTTGGCCTCTGTTTGTCAGAGGCTGGAGAGGGATGGCAGGAGACAAATCGCTTGATCATGGTCTTCGGTCCACCCTCTCTGGGGCACCTGGTGCTGGCCACTGTCGGCAGACAGGACACTGGGCTAGATGGACCTTTGGGCTGACCCAGTACGGCCGTTCTTATGTTCTTATGGTGCTTGTCAGCATCTGTATAGCAAATCATTGCTGAGGTATCCATCAAAGTCAGTGGGAAATGAAATTGCTCTGCACCTTGCAGGTAAGTACTCTGTGTGGAATGGTTAATGGTGCTGTGAGTAGCAGTAACTTTCAGGCCATGTTATGGAAGAAAATCCCCTGGGAGTTTATTGCGTAAAGGCTTTGAGGAAAATTAAAGGTGAATCTCTCAGGGCCAGCAGACATCGTCCCCTTGTGTTCTGTCTGAGGAGGGATATCGGTTTTAGACATGCTCGAATTCTATCATCCCGCCCTCCTGCAGCCTCACATCACAAGGGTTTTTTCTTGAGGTCAGGCCAAACTTCTCAAAGCAGCACCGCGAATGTCTTGTTCAGAGGAAAATCAGCAAACGGATTCTTTGAGCTCCAAGATTAGTCAGAACAAAGTACGCTGACGCCATGTAATTGCGGCTCCAGTTGTGAGGAAAGGTGGAAGCTCTGTTGTTTTGAAGTTCTTTGAGAGACTGTCTTCTGATCTAAAGCTGGCCAGATTAGATGTGCTATTTACTCCTGTTGGTGAGATAAGATCCTTTTGTAAAGTTCACACTGAGTTAAAGAAAAGAAGCAATGTATGCTGATGTTGTTAGCAGCTGTTCCCTTAGCTTTCATCTTTAGCTGCCATACGTAGAGAAGTCATAATTGCCATATTGGAACAGACCATCATCCATTTATCTGCTCCTCCACTTTTCATAGTGACATTACCCTGTACTTGTGCATCAAGGACCCTTCCTCCTTTCATAGTGCTGCCAGCTAATTACGCGTATACTGTTGGGTGAAAATCTCCTTGCTGACCCCAGTTTGCTGGCAATGCATCTCTGATGGTGGAGGCCTGTGTAACCAAGTTTAAATTGTGAATTATTTTTATTCACGTAAATGCCTAACCCTTCTCTGTTAACCTAATGTTAGTCTGCCCTTGGAATTTGATTTGCCCAGGTGAAGGTAGAATTGGGCCATCACTGTGTTTGTCTGATAAATATCATGCAGAGGAAAGTAGCTTGGTTTATATGGTATCCCTAGCCTCTGTTTACTAGAAGCTGGAATAGATGACAGGAGAGGGATCACTTGATTACCTGTTGTGTTCACTCTCTCTGAGGTATCTGGTATTGGCCACTGTCAGCAGACAGGATACTGGGCTAGATGGACCTTTGATCTGACCCAGCATGGCCATTCTCATGTACAAAATAATTTCCTGGTACTTGCTACTAAACTTACTGAGGACATGTCTACACAGCAGCATTATTTTGGAATCATGAGGGCTGCGTCTAGACAGGCATGATTTGCAGAAATACTTTTAACGGAAAAGTATAGACACGCATTTGCGCAAGAAAGCTCCGATGGCCATTTTAGCCATCGGGCTTTCTTGTGCAAAAAATTAAGGTGCCTGTCTACACTGGCCCTCTTGCGCAAGTATTCGTGCGCAAGAGGGCTTATCCCTGAGCGGGAGTGTCAAAGTATTTGCGCAAGAAGCACTGAATTCTTATATTAGAACGTCAGTGCTCTTGCGCAAATTCAAGCGGCCAGTGTAGACAGCTGGCATGTTTTTGTGCAAAAGCAGGTGCTTTTGCGCAAAATCTTGCCAGTCTAGACGCACCCATAGTGTGCATTTACACAGCAACCCCAGTATTTCAAAATAAATTCGAAACAATGGACTTCTTACTCTGGCTTCTGTAAACCTCCTTATATGAGGAGTAAGGGAAGTCGGAGGAAGAGTGCTCTAACTTGGACTTCCTGCTGTGTAGATAGCGCCAAAAATTGAAATAATTGCGTACCTTAAGTCGAAATAGCTTGACATAGCTCAAGTTGCGTAACTTATTTCGAGTTTAGCCCTGCTGTGTAGACATGCTCTGAGTGTCTCTTTATTGTGTTACGAGATAGGACACCTAGAACCCAGTTGGATTTCACTGTACTTTTCATGATTGTTTATTGTGCACCTTTGTCAGAGCCCCTTTTACTTTTCTATCTTCCAGATTAAATTTAATCCTTGTATTTTAGGTCTCTTCTTGAATCTAGCCTATACTCCCTCCTTTAGCTTACTTTACTTTTCCTCAGTTCCTTGCCCTTCTCTATTTCAGCTGTGAGACAAAGCAGACACAAATGATTGCAGTAGTTGAGGTTGGAAAGTAGGAGGCATCTCCGATTGACATAATGCCATCATGTGTTTTTCCCCATTATTGTCTCTCTTTTTTACTTTTTTCAGTTCTGCTGAGCATTAAGCAAATGTCTTTACAGAGCTTTCCCCAGCGACACTTAGAACAGTAGCAGCTAATTCAGAAACCATCAGCAGCCCGGATTCTTCTGTGTGTTTCACTGCTGTAAATCCAGACCAGTTCCACTGAAGGGAATTGAATTAATTTAGATTTACACTGGTGTCTGAGATCAAAGTCTAGCTCTGTGTATTCAAGTGGTGTATCCCCTTCCCAGCAAAATGGAGGACTGCTAGTATTTTTCCTTGTCAACATTTCCAGAGTCTTTTATTGGTGTTGAATATGTGGATTTCATCAGAGAATAAAATTTGTATTTTTTACACTTAAGGAAAGATTACACAAATAAAGGAAACCGTTTCTTCATTTGAAAACTCTTTGTATGGGCTTGTATAATGTTAGCATGATGGGGGCCTGATCCTGACCGAGGAGCATGTGCATGATGCTAATAGAAATGTTAAATCTACTAGACATTTGAGAAGATTTTTGCATCTGATTGTGTCCATCTGTCTGACTGTGAGCCCGTTAATTCAAGAACACCTCCTAAATGATAAGAGCTAGGAGCACCAAACATGCTATGCAAGTTCCTCTGATCATAACTTTAAGCAAACTCAGGGTTTGGTTGTGCCAGGACAAGGGAATGTGCGTGGAATGCGATTGTTTTCATCAAACAGAAAGGGAGGGGTGTGATAGCAGAGACAGTTCTACTCCAGAATGATCATGCAGGGGGCGGGGGCAGCAAGTGCCCCAGCCCCAGGGAACAGCCATTAGCCAGGATGCATGGCCCCAACTGCACCAGGTAATTCCTGGGGAGAAGCCAGTCAGCAGACCTGTGATCCCCACTGCCCCGGGCTACACAGCCCCACCACCCCGCTCTGCCCTGTGCTGCGTGGCCCGAGTCCAAGGGAGCAGCCGCTATCCACTCCCATCCCCTGCTTTGAGCCCACCGTCCCTCTTTGGTCCCCCCCCACACTTCTCCATCCCCTGCCCTGACTCTGGCACCCCCACCCTTGCCCTCAGCATGCCCTCACCCCTTGCCCTGAGCCTCTCTTTACTCCCCAACCCTGATTTCTGCTCCCCTATACACACCCAGTCTCCTGTCCTGAGCCCCCCACATTCCCTCTGCCCCGAAGGACCCGAGCAATGCTGGCTAAGTCTTTTAGTCATTATCATAAAAGAAAGTTAACTGATCTGATTCTTCAGGTTTTGGGAAGCTTGAACTTTCACTTCAGGTTTTGGGAAGCTTGGATGTGTAAGGGCTGCTGGAGGACTCATAAAGTAGCCAAAAATACGAATAATCTCTTTCTGTGTGCATTGCTGTGCACTTACCTCCTTTTCGTTTCCTGTCCTAGTGCTCAGGCACTCGCCTGTCACTGAAGCCCATTGGTATTCTGTGGTGTGGCAATAGAGGATCGTTTGCAGTCATGTTTCTGAGACTGTCTAACAGGCTCATGCCATTTGTTTTTTTGCCTTCAGTGACTTTACTGACTTCATATATTTTAAGGAATATTTTAACCACAATTTACATTTTTTCTGAAAGTTGCTGAATTCTTATGATGGGCTTGCTCTTATTCATCAGTGTGTTTAGTCCATTGATGGGCCTTATCCAAACGAGCAGTTTGTCTGACTAGGGACACTGTCATGGAGGAGTCTGTAAAAGAGCCTGGGGCTACAGTTCGGTTAGATGAAAACACAAATGCATTACCGTTTTGCATTTGGGAAAGCAAAAAGATTGTGCTTCATGTCTTGGCTGTGCCTTCGTTGATTGTTACTAACATTGTCGAGTTCTGTATTGTCGTTTTAGGGAAAACTGGCCACACAGAAGCTGTGCGAGTCGTGTATCAGCCAGAAAACATCAGATTTCAGAATCTGCTCAAGGTCTTCTGGGAGAATCATGACCCGACACAAGGTAGAGTGATGAGTGAGCCAGTATTTAATTATCTTACTAATTACAGCTGGGATAATTAGTGTTTGAGCTGCATGGAAGAGATGAACCTTGAAATCACATGGGAGCTCAAGAATATGATTGCAGACATTTATTGACAGAGGGAGAGGGAGAAAGAGGATGTAGATGCTCACAATACCCCTCCCCCCTTACAGCTGTCTGTGCTGGGAAAATTCCCACAGAGAGAAAGAGACTAGACAATAGAAAATCCTCTCACTTTTGATTATGACAATTTTTCCGTAATGCTCTCTTTTGTCTCCTAAATTAAAGCATATTTCTCAGCAGCTTCGGAGCTGGCAATTTGACTCATGCATAGAAACTTTACCCTCCATACATTTCACATTTTTCATCTTTTTTAAATTACGGTGGGTATCTGTTATGATTAGAGAAAACGAGCAAAAGGAGGAAAGACATGGGGCTCAAAGGTACCACCAGCCTCAACGTATTAGCTTCTTACCTTATTCAAGCTTTTTGGTTTAATTCATCCTCTTGGAAGTGGCAGCATGATAACATTATGCACATCTGTTCAAACAGGAATGATGAATTGTATTGAGAAAACATTTTACATGTGTATATTGTTTCCGAACATTCACTCCAATATGATGCCCTGAAATATTACATAAAAATAAGTCATTTTCTACATTTTCACCCCAGTTGTCATGCATTTAGCTATGTGGTTAATATTAAAAAGGATGCTCTTAAGAGGGAGGATGTGTGTGAGGGGTGTTTTCTCCTCTTATATTGGCTCATGGGATCCTACAGGTCTCAGCTTGAATCACTAGAGTGGACACT